AAGGAATTTGGAGAAACGGACACCATTGGCAAACTCAGCAGGTCGAGGAGCTGCTGGGGGAGTGGCGCGTGTAGGTCACGGCCCGGTCCATTACCTTGGACGGCTCTTAGTTGATAGCCCACTCGTTTATTGGTACTTATTGGGCCACTTATGTTTGACCTAAGAGTCCACTTTAGTTGGGTTATGAGAGGCTCGGTTTTTTGTCTTGCCCTGAGTGTTGAAGAAGGGAAGGAGCCGTGAGTTTGGAGAGAGGTGTGTGGCTTTGTGCTCTCGGTCTTGCTTTGTGCTTGGCATGGTTTCTCCTTCTCCTCTAGCCTTTGTGGCTGCTTCTTGAGGCTGCCTTACTCTTCACACCGAGCCCTTTGTGGGCTGTTTGGCTGGAGCAACCGGTGTATGGGTTGGTGTCGTTTGGAGGAGATATGACCCTGAAATAGTGATCTAAAATGTTATAAGGAATGTTGAATGCCCTAATGAACTCTAAAAATCCCCGTCACCTTTGCCATCAGTTGATTATTTACTTTTTACTTTTGTTTTTTATAATTTACATGAAACCTGATGGGTTCTATGGATTATGATTACCATTTTGATTTGTTCTTGCAGCTGTGGTACTTGTGGATATGATCTAAACCTGAGCTCGTCCAGAAGGAATGCGTCAACTATTGGTTCCAAATATTCTAAATCCGTAAGGAAGGGGATAATTACATTTTTCTCCGTAGATCATAACAAATTCAATGAGGTTGAAGAGTTCGGTTGCGTACCCTACTTCATTTCCAAGCACTCTTGGGGTTTATTCAGACGGAAAACCAAACTTTTGTGCCCCAAATGTGGTAACCATATTGGTAATGCTTATTCTTATCCTCTTATACCAAAAAGTACGAGTTCACCCTCTGGCAGTGAAATCTTCAATCCGAGAAAATATGATATCAGAATTCGTTCTTTGCAACCTTCTGCAGAATTGGGTACTCCATCTGTCTTGTGATGTCTCCGTGAAGCATTCGTACTATATGCAATCTTTTTCTGATTCATATGCAGTCCATAAAATACCTTCTATCGTTATTAGTCAAATTAATGCTCTATCACGAATGATTTATAGCTCCCCATGCAACATATCTGATTGTTCTGCATAAGAAGGAAGTTTAGGCCATATTTTTTTCCTGGGAATGTTGTAAATATTTCTTATGTTTATTTGGCTTCCTTTTGCTCCATGAAATATTATTATGCGTGTATATGAAGCATATTGTGAATGAATCATTTTTATTCATGACGATGAAATGTAATACAAATATTAATTCCGTGTCTCTCTCTTACTCTTCCCCCGCCGCCATAGGTCGTTAGTTCAATATGCATTTATATTAGCTTAATAAAGATTTTATCATTTTAAGTGTGCCGGAATTTTCATATAAGTCGATACCGTGGATTTTATTAGTCATGAAAAAAGAGAACAGGATACTGTATGAAATGTGAGTCCTATTGGGTACAATTGGCAGACCACTTAAAGATATTCTTCAAATTTATGATAAACAATATAATAAGAACATGGCTTGGCTGTTCATCGTTCATCAAAAGTGTTTGAGGCTTATGGCTTGAGGAGCGCTTCATGTGAGGTTCTCATTTAACCTCTTGAGTACCTTTGTCAGGGCTTTTGACTCGACAACTGAGGCTTATGCCTCAAGGCTAATACTTAGGCGGCTGAGGTGTGCATTTGTTTTGCCTTTTTCAGACTTTTTATTACTCATCCCATCTTTTTGGACTATTGTTTGTCATAACTTAGAATTTTTTATGTGTTTTTCATTCTTTCTAACACCTTTAAATGAAGGGTAAGAGGAAGGAGAAGACACCATTACAAAACTACGACATGATTATATAGAACGATAAAAAACTGATAATGACAAGGAGTGTGATCGAGAATCAAATTTGGTGATTTTTCTCTTAAAAATTTGTTAGTATTGATAATATAGGGGGACTTTAAGTTGTTTGATTCTAGTAGGAGATTTTGATTTTGATATTCGATTACTAATTTTGAGAATTCATTGATTCTTTAAAATATAGTTATTGTTTGCTTACAATTTAGATTTTTATTTTTGTTAATTTGTTTTATTATGAATTTTCAAGACAACTTAAGGTTGTTATGGGCATGTGTTTAAATTTTTATATATTGTTTAATTATTTTACTGGTTTACATCATAAACTTATTACTCGACTCATTTTAATCGTTATCGCTACTTTTTATTACCAGGAGAAAATTTAAATTTGAGTAACATTTTTCAAATTTCCATTAGAGTAGTTAGACATGTCAATGAATACATGTATTCCTCTACAGTTCTGTGTACTTGGAGTTGGAGAGAATTTAAGTTGAATGCATCAAATTCCCTAAATTCGTCTCAATACTTGTTTTCTTAGGTAAATAACTCATATTTAGAATAAATATCCTGAATTTGTTTTTTATTTTTCTCACTTTAAAGATCGCGTTGAATTCTTATGAACCACAAAAAACGTTGCTGTCCATACTCAAGAGAATGATTATGAAGAACCATACCACGTGACTGTTCTTGCTTGAAGTGAAACGAAGGGGAAATGGAAAGAGGAAGGAATCAAGATCTTCTTCAGAGGCCTACCAGTTGGTCCAAAGTCTTGGTAGGTATTATTTAAAATAAACTTTATCAGCATGTTTGATATGTTGGATTGGACCACAATTATATGAGTTATGATTAATGACGAAAACGAAGTAAAATATTTTTCTACTATGCTATGTAGTACTGTCCAGTATGGTATGTTGGTTGGAGTGCATGGAATAAGATTAATTACTAAAAAGAAGTTAAAATATTGTCCATTATACTGTGTAGTGCTATCAATGACTGTGTGCCCAACATACCCTACTAGTATCGATGGTCTCCTTTCCATGTGACAAACCAATGTGCCTCAATAAAGTATTTGGACTTTGACTTAAGCTTGCAAATGGATCTAGTAATGAAATGAAAAGTAATAAAAGCTTCTCCCTTTTATTATTCCAGCCACATTTTCTTGATTTGTGGTGGACGAAAGGGTTGAGGGGCCTGGTCATATTCACCATCTCTGGGTTGAGGGGCCTGGTCATATTCACCATCTCTTTACTTGTCTCTCTCTCACTGTTGTTTACTCAACTTTTTTGCAATATGTATTCTTGGGATGCTTTTGTTTTCTTCTTAGGAACAATGTATTATGCTTCTGGGAGACAGCTTTAGAAGGGATGGAATAATCTTGTTTAGGAATAGTAATTAGCGTGTCATTGTTTGAAGCCTCGGGTGCTCTTCATGTGAGGCCTTCATTAAGCACCTCAAGACTCATGCTCTGAGTGCCATTTATCAACACCTAGCAACTAATGTGCACTCCTAAAGGCATAAACCTTAGGTGGACACTCGTTTGTCCGGGTTTTTCCTGCAATTTTAAGGGTTTTTTGGGTTAATTTAAATGCAAAATCGACTAGAAAAATAGAACCGGAGTATAGAGGATAGAATAAGTGAAGCCTCTAAAAACTTTTAGAAGTTCCATAAATTATTTTTTCTAGTCTTGTGCATTCATAAATCAGAATTAGGAACTGATAAACCTCTTATACTCTCATACTTTTCATCAAAACATTTTTCTTAACCTCCGTGCATATTTTGTGGTCCTATAATAGTTGTCCCACGGCTACGTAGAGCCAATATAGGGGACATATTGTCCTAGTGGCTTCTTTCTTACTATGCAATGACATAACTAAAACAAAGACACCTATGAATGAGTCACTTTGCACATGCAAGCCATTCTGCACTTGTGGGGATAAAGAGTAAGTTATATGATTAAAAATCTTTGGACACTTCAAAATACTCCATATTTTTTTAGGAGGGTATGTACTATTTTATTATTACGCGCACTCATCAAGCATTTGATTTCCTCCCCCGACAGTTTATCCCATATTATGGGAGACAAATCTTCTTTATAAATGATCAAGCTTTTAGATGTTGCGGTTCACATAAGATGAGAGCAAGTAAAGTTATCAATTTAGATCTTGTTCTATTTATGAAATTTTGCGTGTGTCCAGTCGTGATGAAAAAATGAACTCGGTTTGTATGTGAGAGGATTGAAGAAAAAGTTCAAATAGATAAATTCGTCTCGTCGCTAACAACTTAAGTTTTAACACAAAGTGAGTCAACATATATTACCCCATAAACTAATAATAATTCAATTGCTCTAGAAAGAAAAGCAAGTTATTTTCCCCTTCCTAAAGACAATAAAATGACAAGATTTTGTAGAATAGTATGGCCCTTGTGCTTTAATGTTTCCTTGATTGGAGCAACTAAAAATGGGCTTACGTCTTCTTCCTTTGTAGAAGTGCCTAATACATTTAAAATGTCGTTTAGTATCGTTTTTATACAATGTTTGGAGCTTCAAATTGCTCACTTTTTAGACAAAAAGTGTCAACTCATTTTTGTTCTAGAACACTTTACAAAGTAGATCTTTATAGATAACACACACATCGATATCGAGGTTTGGTGTGGACCCCTAAAAGGAATAAGCTATGGAATTAAAAAGATACTTTAGAGATGGGAAAATGGCAATTGGGCCAACTCACTTGGCTATTTTCGACGAATCTTTCTTCTTTTTTAGAGCAAAAAGCATCTCGAATGCATGTATAAATGCATATTTATATATGCATATAAATTGTAAATGATTGCTTTACATTCACACTTGGAACCAGGCCAAACAGATAAATTGTGTGAGTAGTGGAGGAAAAGCTCAAGGGTCTTTTTCTGTACAAAGTCCCTTTATTCTTTGGTCCTCTTTTTTGTCAGACTTCTTATCCATCCTTGTTTAATCTTTGCTCCTTTTAACTTTTTGCTCACATGGCCTTTACTTGACTTCTTCCATCTGATGAGCTGGAATAGATGTCCAATCCGCTTTTGCCACCTCAGCATCGGATGCAGTTTTGAGTGTTCGACTACACTCTTGATCTTCTTGACCTTGCTCAAGTTGTAATTCAAAGACATGTCACATTGCTGACCAAGTGATATTTTGGAGATTGGATCCTTATCCCATGAAGCAACACCGTTGTTTTCGAACTCCATTGATATGAAGGAATCTACAATGCCCAAAACTAGTTAGAACGCATAGCGAATAGTGGAAAGGTGATTTGGTGTATTTATTAATTTCCTTGAGACATGCAATGCTTGAACTTACAACATTCGCCTTCTCAAAAGGTTGAAGAGGAGGTCGAATGACGTTACCAAAAAATGGACGTCACTAATTTGCGAAATATGCAAATAGATCCCATCTAGCTAAAAGTAAGCCAAAAGGGTTCAAACGACTACGTCTAAGTCAGTCACTTTTTCCATTCTACATGTACAATTTATCATAATTTTTCAAAGAGATAAAATATAAGGAAGAAATGCGACTAAAATATACCTTTATAAGATCTATCTCTTAAATTGGTTCAAAATTTGTAGTTTGTAATTTGTCATTTAAACCACAATATCATTCTAAAGAATAAGAATAAAATTATTGCAACTGGTTTCATTGCCAAATTTTGTGTCTCTGTATAATAAAATGTTCAATTTCCTAATTTATAGATCTTAGACTAATTATTTTGAAATGCTTGTTTGGTAATGTGGAATGTACCGCAATAGGCATTATATATAAGGAAAAAAAATAGAGTTAATATCTATATCTATTATTGTGTAATACCTTCGTCATGTCGAACATATATGTCCTAAATTTGTATTAATTAAATCTATGTTTTTTTAACTCCCCTAGTGAGATATTAATATTTTAAGATTACGATGGAACAACAAATCGTATCTTATTTTCAATAAGTTTTACTACATAACTCCCTCCGTTTCATTCAGTTCAACACTATTTCTTATGCCACTTAGATTTCTCCACATAATTATTCTAATTTCTTGATATAATATTGACTGAATTAAGCTAAATGAACATAATGCTTGTCATTGGGGTTGACTGACCTCTCACATTGCATGTGGGGCCCGACCTGAATTAAATAATGCCGACTTCCTCTATGTGTGTGTGTTGTGTCATCCCCTATGTCAAGTATTATGTTTGTGTAGCAAAACTCATATTGACTTCCCTACCAAAATCTCATCAACAAACAATTCTTGATCCAATATTGTCACCAAAATTAATTCTTGCAACTATCCATTTCTACTCTATGTTCATGCAATCCGAATGTCACAAGAAAATTTCTAGTACTCTCGAAATATAAAACTCAGTACTTCCTTCCACTATTATCCATTCACCTCCCACGCCATAAATGTATATATTACTGCGTGTACGCAAAATGGCATCAAAGAGCAGGAAATGAACTCTAATCTAACCTTCTTACTTAGAGCTGTAATAAGCCTGGGCTTGTACTATATGTTTGTGTGTACCAATACACACACACACACACATCAAGTTGAAAATAATTTAACTGCAGAAGAGAAGAAGTGCAATCTAACCTTCCTGACTTGTAGAGGAACTATAGTAAGGCTGGGATTTATGCTGTCCAAAATCAAGCCTATTGAGCAGACTACTCAGAGCAAATAAGTTTGAGAGTGTTACAGAGGGCTTTCTGTATGTGACACTGTAAACTCTGTCACTGCCTTTTAACTTTGATTGCTTTGAAGCTAAAACTAAAAGCTTTTGCTTCAAACATAGTGCACATACCCCTATAACAACCTCTTTTGGATGTATATAGCACCATGTTTTGTCATCTCCATATTCATTCATTTTACTATTAGTTCGGAAGCAGCTGTGGAGGGATGGGTGGGGAAGAGAAGTAAAGTGAGAAGACAAGAAGAAAATGTATGTCTGCAGTGTGTGTGTGTGTGTGTGTGTGTGTGAGTTCTGATCAGTCTCTCTCTATATATATGTATATATGCTTGTACATTGAGGCATGGTCCACTAATTTAAACTGGTGTGTAATTTTAGTTGGGTATTTAAATAGTCATCCATATGATAACATTTATACTACTATGACCACTTGTTGGCATTGGAACTTTAGGACTTCACATTACCAATGTACATTTTTACAAATATTTTGATGCACATTGCATTTGAATGTGTAAAGTTGGTGATATTAGTGCAGCCAAGTTCAAGAAAATGTGTTGGGTTGGACTCAGATTACGAGGCCACGTCAACTAGTTACTCTTGGTGGAACGTTTACTAAATCTCTGTTTATCTTCCATTAAAAAGAGTTTTAAGGAGAAAATGAGTTTTGAAATAGTAATTTTTTTTTAAGAATGTGATGCAGGAGGGTCCGAATCAAATGTTGAGTTGTCAGATAACGCGTTAATGACTCTAAGGTATCACGAGTTGGCAGATCGGCGCAAGGATGGCAAGTGATCGCGTAACTTTGGCAATTGAGTCGTATTTTGGTAATTTGGCCATAACTTTGGTTATGGTTATGAAAATCGCGATTAGGACCACAATCTGAAAAGCTCGTTTCGACGTGCACGTCGTGGACACCAGCTTTGCTTGGTGTGTGCCTTTTTCATTCTTAAATTCCGCTATTTTCCCTTCCGAATTGTTATTTTTAGTTATTTTTTACTATTTTTGGTAATATTTCAATTGCATGTTAGGAGATGATTTTTAATCCGATTTGGGCTAGATTTTTTGCAGAATACTTATTTTAGTCCATATTTTCGTTTGGCGTGATTTTTGGAATTTTGCCATTTTTGGTAAAATTCGAATTTTTGCTATAAAGTCCGGCTTGTGGACTTATTTTGATCATTGCGTGATATAATAAAATTCTCTAAACTTCAGAGACGTTTTCTCTGTGTTCTTCGGCGTTAATCTTGTGTTTTTCCCTGTGAATTTATTGGTAGAACTAGCATGTAGAATAATCATTATTCTGTACGGCGTCAGAATGTGTAGTTAAAAAGTAGAAAATTTTTTGAATTTACGTGCAAAATATTTTATTGTATAAATATGTGATTAAATTTCAGTTTGAAGAAAAATAGTTCTGATTTAATGGAAGGCAAAAGGGGCTAAGTTGGATGAGAATCAACTTGTGGAGGCACTATTTCTGCTTTTATTGTTTTTTTTTTTTTGTTTATTGCCACAATGTCCATTTGGAAACTGAGTACAAGAGCAAGGTAAAGTAAGATGTAATATAAAGCATCAACTTGCAATTAGGCTCAATTCAATCCAAATAAAGAGGGCTAGTCCTGCCCAAATCTCACTATTGACAAGTAGTTTGTCCACTCCAACTGGCCATGGTGACCGCAAGAATTTGCATAGATTTATTCCTTAACCTAAAAGACAGACATTTCACTAAGGAATGGGCAATACTAAAGAGGAAACTAGTGATATTTGCTTATCCACTTGAAAAATACATATAGCCAGAAACTGCCAGCAGGTGAATGAATTTTAAATACAGAAAAGTAAAATTTCTCTCTTCAAACGGCCATCCCATATTGCTCACTTTAAATATAAATACAAGAATATACATAGTACATTGGAGGCAACAACACCAAAACCTGCATCCCCGTTACATGTTGAGGGGGAAAATGAATTCAAGATCAAGAATGCACATTTTGTTCAGTCGATAACAGATACTTCAGCTTGGCGGAGATCTTCCATTGATGTTATCTTGTGTATTTCTTCGAGGTGCTGCTCCTGAGAACATCCCCATTACTGACCTTAAAGCACCCGATATCTCATCGGGAATTTCACCACCATCAGCGTTACCACCTATTCTGATTCCCGGCTGGTTAGGTGCATCAGGCTCACCATCATGTTCAGGCTTGGTAGCCATATTAGTAAACATGCTTGTGATATCGTCAGGAAGGCCATCAATATTAAATGGCATGGATGTAAATGGTGGTGGTGGGCAGGACCCCTCAACCCACCTCCTGATCCGTGAGAATTCTCATAGCTTGAACCCTGCCCATGAAAAAGGATCACGGAAGTTTTTAAGTGATTGATTATGGGTTATATACAATGGTAGCCATGAAACTTTATATTAATGGACTTTATATGACCAATGAAAAAATTACGTGGCAGTATGGTTACTTGTCAACTAGGCTGTTGTCTAGACTACCATGTCAACTTTACTGTTACTCAAACTAACGGATATGATTGGAATCATCAGTGTAACAATGTTCTGGTTCAATGACACATTTGTAATAAAATCCGGGCAACAGTAGGAGCCCTAAAGAGGAAGGGGCAGGAGCACTCGACCCTTGATGTTCTCTTATTCTTGTCAAAACCCGAGGAAGTATTGAATAGGGATAGAAAGGCGTGAGAATGATTTCCCGTACTTCCAGACATGCTGAGCTCCATAGAGTCCAACGGATAACTTTGTGATATATGAATTTTAGTGACTGATGTGAGATTTCACCAAAAAGTTCAATAGGTATAGGTTTGTTATGAATGACCCAGTATCGAATACAGGTAATAATATCAGCAATAGATCGTTTTCCCGTACTTCCAGACATGCTGAGCTCCATAGAGTCCAACGGATAACTTTGTGATATATGAATTTTAGTGACTGATGTGAGATTTCACCAAAAAGTTCAGTAACCACCCACATTTTTAACCCGATTGATATATTGTGAAGAAAAGTTTAGAATTCTGCAGATAGACAAAATGCTGTTGTCCAACTGCATTTGAGGCACAAAATCTGATGTCTTATATGGTGCTTGAATAATGCAATTGAATCTTGAAGACAAATTGGGAGCTATTTTGTTGCAGTGAAACTGTGGGAAGCTCAATTCTTAAATGCCATCATTAGACTAGACAATCAATTTTTTTAGTATTCATTTTCGGTACAAGTAATTTCAGTACAGTCAATAGCATCCTGTCTAAAAAATGTAAGAAAGCTACAGCATAAATGTTATGCTTGTATATTCCAAGAAAAATCATAACTGACCTCTTTTGCTCTTCTTGCACTTCTCCCGGGAGACCAAAACATTTCCCCGGTTCTCTCTTGCTCTGTATGCGCTTCAAGCCTTTCGACTATCCTCCCCCCTACTCTTGTTTGCCTCTATTTGTGTTAAGTAATAGAGGTACATTAACTGGAGATGAAGGAACCATGTGCCCAAGCATAGCCATTTGGCACACGCATCATGAAAATCTATCATCATGTATTGGGAGAACATTTGTCTCCAATTGAATCTCTGCCAATAACTAACTCTCCAAAGGTTTACAGAGCCAACAATTTAAATGGTGGAATAAGAAGTTAACCTTTCTTTCGAGAGAGGAGGATATAGATACTTGTCTTGCAATGCAATGGCACCACGTCAGGGAAATAATCGCCGAGTGATACACATTGACTGAGTAGAAGCAATTGGTGAAGCCACGTGCTCACGATGGGAATTACAGAGAAGAAAAGATTAGGAGGTAAGGTGGAGAAGACATCAAGGAACTGAAACTTAGAGGTTAAATTCCTACATATGAATTATTAATTTTAAAACCTCATCAAAGAAGCAAATCTTTCAAAATTTCTAAAAGGTTACGGAACGAATCCTTGGAAGCCTTCAGAAAAATAGTGCATTTTCCACAACGTAAATGTGAAGGAATGAGATGAGAATTCAGAATAGGAAGGGGAAAGAGCCATGTATTCGACGAACGAAGAGGAGATTGAGTCATCTCATTTATCGATATTTTATGTGTTCCCATGATTAACTAATGTTACTCAACTTATAAAATCGCCAGTACTTATCTAGCATTAGATAAGAGAACATATGGATTTTTTAATGCAAAAGAATCCAAGCATCACGATGCGTAAATGATGCAAGACAAGAATGTTTGCACATCAGCTATTCTAAGTAAAACCTGATGGAAATTGGTTGAACGAAACTTCAGCAGATAAATGTTGCCAAGACAAAAGAGGACTTCGTACTTGTGAAGAAAATTTAGCCAAAACCTTGTAAAGGATTTTATACCATGGATTTTCATTTGGGTGGCCAATGTGTTTAGTGATTTGTGTATCATTCGAGAGAAAAAATTGTGCATTTTAGATTAAATAGTAGAAATCCTAGGTTCGTATAGGAAATTGAGATATACTTCTAACCCTATGTGATCTATTGAGCTATTTCACAACAATTGAATGCAATTTATTGGGTTTTAATCGACATGGATATATATTATGTTAAATAAATCAATTAGGGTTAATTTCGCTCGAAAAAGGTAATTGAGTAAAATTGAAAAATCGGTTCTAACATTGTAAATGAATAATTTATTAATTGACATATGGAGAAATTAATTAGGCGACGGTTAAGCGAAATCATAAATTCCAACCACGCTTTCCTTCAAAAATTCACAAGTGTTTATGTTTTCTTATTTTGTAGATTTTTAGTTTTTTTTTCTTATTTTCAAATCATAATCTTAATTGTGTGTTTCTTTTGAAATAAATTGATTAAAGTTGTGTATAAAGTAAACATTTCTCGAGGGGTAGACGACTCGACCTCAAAAAATTCACTTTATTACTTGAATTTGACCTCGTGCACTTGCAATTTGCACTTTCATATCGAACATCCTTCCTAAATCTACCCCAACGTGTGTCTGACACGACACATGTCTAATATGTTGACTATGATTTTTCAAAAAAATATTGATGGGCCGACCCTGAGAATTTTGAGACACTAGACAACTCATTATATGAGACCCTCTCAATTTTTTACTTAAATATTTAAATAATATATTTATATGTTAAACAAAGACTTGTTACAATCCAAATGATAAAGTAGAAAAAAATTTATCTCGACAACTTGAGCGACTGGGACATTGCCTTGTGTCAACAATTATTCTTAACCACGTATTTCATGAAATCCACAAATTTTCAACTATTTTTATCAAACTCTACTAAAAATCTAATTTTAATCACAACCAAACAGAGACTAAGTTAAAGTTGTGAAACTAACGCGAACAACACTAGTTGAGAAGAAAAATGGTTTGTGTCAATGTTTTGTAGAATTACAATATTAACCTTAAAACATACACACACATACAAACGAGAGTTCTCATTTTTCTTCCACTTCTCCTAGATTCAACATTGGGTATCATCTACTTTGGCAACTTCTTTTATTTCATTTGCAGCCAAATCACTGTCTAGAATTAAATTGTCAATTGAACAACCAAAATACTATTTAGAGTCAAATTATCGATCAAATGCTAATGACTTACCACCAAATATTATAATTTAAAATCACATTCTTCTTGTTAGAAAATATTTTTTTAAAAAGACAATTATTTCAAAGAGAACTTATCCGATGAGTTTAATCATATCTTTTGTGATCTCCACTCTTTTATATGTGATATAACTCTTTCTATATCTTGCAATTGATAATTTGATAGAATTTAGCCACTATGTACACATTGTTTGACACTCACCTCTATGTGTCAAAAGTCTGGCCAATGTTAGAAAAAAGTGTTATTAAAATCAATATATAGAATTCTGTCAACTCACATGAATGTCAACTAGGTGTTAAGCTAGATGCATATGCAGCATGATTGATTTTGATATTTTGAAAAAATCTTTATGCTTGATCATCACCTTGAATATCAAGACTATTCTCTAGATTCACCTAGACTGACTCTCGTGTTATAATTTATTGCAACTCATTGGATTGCTGGACTTCTATCGACTTTTGAACTTAACATTGGATTTAAATTTATAATTACCAATTTTTAGAAATAAGTTGCCATTTTTTTAGCACGAAACCAACTAGATGACTAGCCCTCTACATGTATGTTGACGTTCATCGTCTATATCTTATCAAACATTACATTATTGCACTAGTATAATATTAAAAACTTACGTGTATGCAAATCAAAGTGAGTTAAGGAACTTCTTTTTCAAGGAATGTAANGTATGCAAATCAAAGTGAGTTAAGGAACTTCTTTTTCAAGGAATGTAACCCTTATTATTCAACACTTCTAAATTTGTTCCATGTGCCCAGCTGCATTTAACATGTACATTCCAAGTTATCCACCACTCCTTATCAGCAATTCATGTGCCACCACCAACCATTTTGTGCTACAAAATTTGACTTCACTTTGCTTCTTGTTTCAACAAAACTATCCCAAGGAAAAGTAGATGGCTTTGCACTCTAAGCACACATGCATTTTTTTGAGGCACAATATTTGCCTCTTAAGTCTCAACAATCTCGTTAGCCGGGACGGAGTGGGATAGGCTAATGCTTATACAATAGCTGCATTGGCTCTACGAAAACATCATACTCTTGGTGCGCTGAGGAAGGTTTAAAGGAGGCTCAAAATCTATAATCTAGTTTTAGAAGCATTCTCTTGCAAAGAGAGTATTTGAAGCGTCGGCGACTTTATTTATTCTTTATTGGAAAACTAGTTAATTGTAAGTAACGTTGCCCAAGAATTTGGTACGTTGGTATATTTTTTGTTGCATACTTGAAATATTATGGTTGAATATGAGCGCACGGTCAAACGTATTGTGTTGTGTCATATCAACATAGTACACATTTTAATGACCTTGTATGTTACATAAATTTGTGGTCACATTGAAGGCCATTGTTGAGCTAATTCACGTAAGAAAATAATACTATTTTGTGGGAAATTAAGCTGAAACCCAATGTTTAAATTTAATTAGTGAAAAAAAAACGTGTTGTTTGTGGTGTTCACCTATAAATACCAATTTTATACTCATAATTCGACTCCGAATTCTTCTTAAGAAAATAATATTGGACATCATCGATAGCATTAAAATCTCAAAAGTATTCGTTTTTTGTTAGAAAATCATACTAAGATAATTCATTATTATTATGCCCTTGTTTGGTGTATATTAAATTCGATAAGAATTTTAAGTCAAAATTTCGTGTCCATTTTTACTCGTGGCACGAGTACAGTTGCTTAGAGGTCTCATGAGAAAATTACAAAGAAACGTTATTTTTTTTTCTTTCTTAAAATAACATTTTTTCTACTTGTCTTATGACTCGTTTTTGACGCAGAGGAGTATTTTTCAATATTCAATCCCTTTGGTATGGATTAAAATTAATTTTATTATATATTTTATAAACTTAATAATTTTTTAATCATACATTTCATCATTTTTTATTAAAATATATTTAAAAAATTAATTTTAATTTCCGCTTAAGAGGAGCTCCATAAGAACGGCCCAATAATTCCAAGGTTGTGGGGTCAAAATTCAAGTGGTCCTCAATTCAACATTCAAATTTTGAGGTAGTCTTTAATCTTAAAAAAAAAATTGGTCTGTAAACATTTCGAACACTCAATATGTAAAATAATGAAAATAATCACAACCTCTATAAATTCATCACATGCAATTGTTAAAATTGAAAATGGGACATTTGTAGTTATAATAAATAGTTTGATTATTAGTTTAGGATTAATTTACCTGTACAATGATGGTTGACGACGTTCGATGTGATAAAATATGGACGGTTGATTTAAAAAAGTCTTTGAAATTTTTTGGAACGGATGAATTTGACGATGTCAAATCATGATTGTCAACAAATATTGTCAATCATCATTGTACATGTAGCATGATTGGATATAACGGGACATTCCATCGTTAAAATATTTTAAACCCACCAAATTTTGAATGATGGCATTGCATCTATTACATTTGTCCGGATAAAGTGGCAAAATCCTTTTGTAAGAACTTTTCCAAGGCCCAAAAGCGTGACGGCAGTGAGACGCACATACGTTTAGAATTCACTCACAAATCAAAGCACAGTGTAACGGAAAATCAAAATATTTTCTCTGAACGCCTCACACCAAAATGGCACTCCACAATCCGCCACACTGCCTTCCAACGCCACTTCAAATGTTGCACCAGCCTTCCCATCCAGTATAACAACAGCCTTTTTTCAATAATCCAACTGGGCTTCTTTAATTTTCGTTTTTTTCTGGGATTTTTGTTTGTTCTGGTCGATTGTACTGAATTGTGATCTGGGTTGGTGAAGAAAAAGGAGAAAAATCATGGAGGAAAATATCTTGTGCCAATGGAGTGTAATTCGATCCATATTAGCCATTCTTCAATGGTGGGGTTTCAATGTCACTGTTATTATCGTGAACAAATGGATCTTTCAGGTCGGTCTGTATGTACACATTTATGTGATTTGTGTTTCGCTTTTCAGTTTTTATATATATTTATTTTATTGGGTGCCTGTTCTTTTATAAATTATTGCTTATTCTTCGTTTCTAATGATCTTGATGTTGTTTCACTTTTTGAATTTTATGTTTATCTGTATAAATCATCACATTTTCAGCTTGAATTTTGGGTTCTTTTCCTTTCACATTGCTGTTATTGTTTTGAAATTTGAGAAAGCCTAATCTTGCTAGATGAATGAATCATTTATTGAATTCGATGTATATTTAGAGCCCCAGACTGTTACTAGTAATATGTGTGTGCATATCTACTGAAGAATGAGCTGACCACCGTTGTTTTCTGCATATAGAAAAAAAATTTGGGAATTTTCTAATTTTGAATTCTTCAAATATGATAATATCTTAATTTTTTTTTTATTAATTTAATTGTGTTTGATAATAGCAGTTTTGATTTGTATATTTAATTATTATTCCGTATCAATTCTGGTAATTCAAATATTTAACATTCCTTTTCTCTTTTTGGCGTTCAGACTCGTTTGAGTGAGTAGGATTGAACTAATCCTCTTCTGACTTTGTTGAGTTGAGTTGAGTTTTTGGTTCAAATATTACCATGAAAAAGTGAAGAATCTTCAGTGTAGATGCTGTCTATGCTGTATTTACTCATGAAAACTAACTGGTGAAGCCTAGAATATCTAAAGGATGACGATCTGATCACACTTATTTTTTGATGTTTGTATAATAATTCAACTTAAATGGCCATCAAAAGAGCAAGCAAATGATTACATATTGAATCTTGATATTCCTCTTTAGTCCAACGATCACTTGATTTCTTATATTTGATCCTCATTTTTTTCCGAATTCATTTTCAATTACACATTCTCACAATAAAATATTTTGCAGGTAAGCCCAAAACTTTTTCTACTTTTTTACCACATTCTCCAAAAACTTACTATTACAAAACTCATTTTCAACAAAAATGGGGCCCACAGGCATATAAGCATCTGTGGAAATGTAATGCAGGAAAATATTTGTTTAGATATTTTTCACTGATGCTGATATGATATGTGGTTGTTGTCTTTACTTGTGCAATTCCGTCTCTCTGTAAATAAACTGAGCTATTTGTGGAGTCTACTCTGGAGTTACTAGTGAAATTAAGTGTTGAAGCCTAGAATAGTTGAAGGATGATGATACTGTTCAAATTTATTTGGTTTAATTTGTATCATAATTCAAACTTAAATGTTCCTGAACAGAGCAAGCAATGTGCTCGCATGTTGAATCTTGATATCGCACAAATGTAGTGCAGGAAAATATTATTTAGTTATTCTTTAGTATTGATGTTTTAGTACTTGATCGTTGTCTTTACTTATGTAGTTCCTTTTTTCAACAGAAAATGGATTTCAAGTATCCGTTGTCAGTGTCGTGCATACACTTTATATGCTCAGCTATTGGTGCATACTTGGTAATCAAAGTGCTGAAGCTTAAGCCACTCATTCCAGTTGAACCTGAAGATCGCTGGAGGAGGATTTTTCCCATGTCTTTTGTATTTTGCATCAACATAGTCTTGGGGAATGTGAGCCTGCGCTATATTCCTGTTTCTTTTATGCAAACTATAAAGTCATTTACCCCGGCAACAACAGGTGAGTTCTGAGTTAAGTATATTCAGAGGGCTTAGAATTGGTTCACAGCAAGCTATTCAAAGATAGGGTGACTCCAGTCAAAGTCAACCATAATATCTTATTTGAAGTGTACATGATGAATTTTTTTCTTTTGGCATCATTTGATAGTTGCAATTTCAAATTTGTGTTAATAAACTAAATTATGCATTCTCTCTCAAATATACTCAATAAAAGACTCGATGCCCCTCTTTGTTAGAAGTTCTCTCATTAAATAGGATTATAATAACAACTAAATATGGAAGCAATCAATTACAA